CCTTCCACACGTGGGTTCTAGGAATCAGACTCGGAAGCCAGATCATCAGGAGTGGCAGCCAGCACCTTCCCCCACAAAGCCATTTCGCCAGCCCATTTTCTTTCTTTCTTTTTCTAAAGCCAAGTCTTGGATTATTACCTTTAACAAGCTTGTTTCAATAAGCAAAAGGGCTGTGAAAGCATGAAGCGAGTCATGAAGGAGCTTTTAGAGTGAGCGTTTCAGAGGCAGTTTCAGGTGATACTTATTAGGAGACTGGGCAGAGAAACCGTGCATTTCGGAATTGGGCTATCACAGTCTTCACGGAGCTCATCTGTGACTCATCAACATATAAGGAAATCACTTAGCACTTGGAAACATTCTTTCCTTTGCCTGAAATAATGGTTTGTTCAGGAGTCAGGCTGAAGCGACAGAGCAAGTCCTAAGTTGTGTTGTTAGGTCAGGCTTTGAGAGTCTCTGTCACCAAGGTGAGATGGCAGACAGGCATACTTTGTGTCGTTAAACTGACATCTGCTGACCCAGACTTGGAGTTTGTTGGCTGAAGTGTCATCAGAATAGAGAGAATCATGTGAGCTATATTCAAATTTATAGCCTAGAGATATTACTAGCTTGCCCTGATGTTTGCTCAATTTCCTTCTCCTGCTTCCCTTCAATATATCTAACTATGGTATAATTATCATCGTCAGGAAATTATCATTGGGAAAAATACCATTAGCTAATTGTATACTTTATTTGAATTGCATTATTTTCCCACTATTTTATTGGTCTAAGATCCATTATATTTAAATGTCATATCATATTGTCTCTTATAGTCTATGACCATGACATTTGTAACTGGTCGGTTGTTTTGTGTAATGAATTCCATTTGGGTTTATTTGATATTTTCTCATAATTAGATTGAGTTTATGTATCTTTGGTAGGAATACCACAGAGTAATGTAGTACCCCATCGAGCATAGCATACAGGAGTACATGTTGCCACTATGACTTGTCACTAGTGTGTTAACTATGAACAATGGTTCAGGTGGTGTCTGCCGGCTTTCCCGACTGGGAAGTTATTGTTTTTGTCTTTGGATTTAACATCTGGTTGGGAGATACTTTGAAAGGACAAATACCTTGTTTCTTATGTTTTCATCTCTTGAGCCTTTATTGATTGGTCTTACTTGGTATCATTATTGCTTTGCTGTTTGCATCATGGTGGTTTTTTAATTACTGTCAGCATTTCTCCATATAAATTGTAATTTTATATAAGGAAAAACTGATCTTTTCCCCTCCATTTATTTATTGAATCATTCCTTTAGAGTGGTATGGGGCTTTAATTTATTTGGGTTATAATCCATTATCATTATCAATAATTCCCCTCATTGTCCATATTTGGCCACTGAAGACTTCCGTAAGTTAGAAGCATGGAGTCTTTACTGCACCCTGCTTCCCTCATGAGCAATCCCTTACATTTCCTTGTCTTCTGGGATCACAGACCTTCTAGGCTTAGCTTACTGATTTTACCCCAGTCTGTGAAACAAGTATTTTTCTAGAGAATCCCGCCTTTCTTTGCTGGATAGTCATATTTAGGAACCAAGGCCCTTGTGCTATTGTTCCTGGGGTATCTTTACCTTTAAGTTTTCTTAGTAGATAGAGTGAGGTGATACCTTTGTGAATGCTTGTACATCATAGACACATTTATTTCTGTCTCCACCTGTATGGGTGTGTAGAATTAATATATATGAAAATCCATGAGCACATAGTGGTGCCTAATTTTCTCATTAAACGTTGAAGGCTTTGGTTAAGGCAGTCTTGCAGATCTTTACAAATGACATTGCAAATGAACTTACTGCCTTCGATGTAATCTCGTCATAGTGTTCCATTAACTCATAGCATTTCAGTTTCTATACTCCTGACAGTAAATTCTTTAAACTCCTCATCCTAGGCTCCAGCTGAAAATATGCCTTTTATCTAAGCTTTATTTTTAACAGAAATTACAGGGAGTGGATTTCTCAAGACAGGAATCCCTCCATAGTGACTTGATAGGTTTTTCTGCACCTTCCAATTGACACTCATGGAAGATACCCTACAAATTACAGTGTTTTTGAAGTAGCTCAGATTTTAGAGACATCGATATATATTTCCATGTTTCCAGTGTAAGGACTCCTGGGAGGCAAATCCTGACGTACTGGGAAGGCTATTTTTTAAAATCCTTTTATAATAGTATCTAAATGTGTTTAAAATATTCCAGCTTCTCAGAACTTACAGTATGAAGAGATCTGAGCCTCATACCAATCCATTTATTTCCTATCTTTGAATTGCAAACCATATAAATAGACAGGGTATAGTAAAGCTCCATCCCTAGACCCAGCAACTAGGTGTGTGACATTAATCCTTGCACAGGAGACAGAGAACTACCCCCAGGACATCCAATAACCCATGACTCAGCTGATTTTTACCTGGAACATGTCCACATCTCAAAGCCCTGGTTCTCCTCTTTGGGCAAACGAGCAAGAATAATTCTGATGTGTACCCAAAGCCATGTTTTAGTGGTCATTTCTAAAACTGCCTACCTCAGCAAGCTGAGCCATACTCTAGACTGTAATGTAAACCTCAGTAAATTTAAAAGGCTTGATATCTATAAAGTCTGTTATTTGATCACAAAGAAATAAACCCAGGAAACAGTAATAGATACCTAGAAAAATCTCCAAATATCTGGACATTAACATATGTTTTACTTGCTCCCAGTAATGATGGATTCCTCTACTGAAACAATTATAAAATAATGAGCATAATAGAAAAACGTCGACACGAAGGTGCTGGAGAGATAAGAGAAGCAGATGGATTTTGATGACAAATACATGAGAGTAGGGGACGAGACAATTATGTTCCAGTTTTGTGTGTGTGTGTGTGTGTGTGTTTGCTTTGGTTTTTAATTGTCACTAGGTGTCGGGTGGCGGAGTCACTGGGGTGACTGACTTTTGAAAAGTGGAGGAGAGAGAGTGACCATGGCAATAGTAGTTGCATCTTTGATAAATGTTGTGTACTTGTTGGGTGCCGGGTACTGTACTTGGCGGGAAACGGTGTAGAAGGAGAAAGAGGAGCGCAGCAGTTTTAAGATTAGGATTTTAGAACACAGACCTTAATCCACAGAGTGATGACGGAGGGCTTGGACGGTGACAAGAAGGTGATAATCTACAGCAGTTAGGTGGAGAAAGAAAGGGGGAAATGTCCAGGCAGAGAATTCAGAAAAGGGTCCAGCAAGGAAATGCAAATTCCAGACCTGAGAAGGTGGCAGGATTGGGCTATTTGTTTCTGATATGAAGTACCTGGAAGAACTGAGCTGGATATTTATTTAGTCGGCAAGTTAAACACATCAGAACTTAGTTTTCAAGGAAGCCTGCTTTGATGAGCACCTCCACCTTAGACATCAGACAGTTCCTTACTCACTGACCCCCTCAACAGCTTACAAACACACTTGCAGTCACCTTGCTTGGTGAATTCATGCCACTTGTAGCTCATGACTGTTTACGCTGCACCTACATCACATGGATATTCGACCACATCTTGTATCATATAAATCCGTACTTCAAGCATGGTAGCTGTGTGAATACTTGTAATGTGAATGTTGAATGAATATGGAAACCACCTATTGGCTTGTGGCATTAAACACCAGCTGTGAAGCCCAAAGCTGATTTTTAGTTATAAATCTGATTCTTATTCAGAAATACAAATGATTTACCTGGTCTGCCTAAACACCAGTCGGTTTAAATGTTACCAAAATAAAATCCTTTGACAGACACAACATATCTAGGTATGCCATCAGAATATGTCCTGAACAGAATAAGGTCCTGCAGCCAGAACACTGGGTGGATAGAAGCGCTTTGGAGGTGGTAAATCTGGACCGAGTCACATTTTGAATTGCCATTAGCGTTTCTTTTTTGAAGCCTTTAGAAGACAGAGTGGAAATGAGAGGCGAGTGTGCAAACTAGCACCGTCATTTTATAGACGAGTCTGGAGTAGTAAAATTGAGAAGACCTTTGGAATACAAACTGATTTTTGCCATCAAAGTGTTCTTGCCATCTTGCAAGGACTTAGGAGTACCTTGGTTGAAGATTTGCTAAAACTAACCTTTTTGGTGCCTCTCTGTCTACCATGTGAAAGTTTTATGCTCTGCTTTATAATCTTCTATGTTTCATAGGTCTTTCACTCGCTACATAGGCCAGCCTGGCCTGGAACTCAGAGATCTGCCTGCCTCTGACTCCTGAGTACTGGGATTAAAAGGGTGCATTCCCACACCTGGTACCTTTCATAGGTCGTAATCACTGTCTTTGAACTTACTTTTACTGGATAGTCAGAGATGGCAGGCGGTCGTAATGAGATCCATGCCTCCTGCCGCACAGTGGAGAGCAATTGCATTTGTTATAATGTACTATAGACAATAGAAGTCTTGTCTTAGGTCTCAAAGATTTTATAATAGGCATTCTGTAGAATGATATCCAATTCTTGTGGTCATAGAATCCAGGCCCAAGTCAGGGCTGGCTCTGGCTGACGACTCCAGAAGCTACCTCTTTGACTCTTTGATTAAACAGGGTTTTCTATGCAGATCAATTGGTAAAGTTGACTTAATTTTATAACTTCTTCAAGTCTGTCTTGAACATCAAAATGGGACCATGGACAATCTTTGCTTCTGTTTGTTGCTTCTACTGGCAAATCCTAGGGGTGTTTGGAGCATCTTAGCTGCTGGAAATGAAAGAGAGTGTGTGATTTTGTTATTGAGGTTCTATGGATTTCACAGGCGTGAGATAGTCCCTCTGGGGCGCCAGTTTTTGCTCTACTATGGTAGCTGAAGTCATCCATGTGATCCTGTTGAACTCTTCAGAAGTGCTCAGGGAGTAAATACCAAGGCATCAGACCCATGGGCAAGAGCATTTCAGACACTGGCCATGAAAGCCTTCTCTGCCCTTTGCCTCCAGTGTCCTTTGCCTCTGATGGTTACTTCTCTCCTTCCTTCCCCCACAGACATGCCTGGAGTTGGAACGCTACCTCCAGACAGAACCCCGACGGATCTCTGAGACCTTTGGTGAGGACTTGGACTGCTTCCTCCACGCCTCTCCTCCCCCCGTGCATTGAGGAAAGCTTCCGGCGCCTAGACCCCCTGCTGCTCCCAGTGGAAGCCACCATCTGTGAGAAGAGCTCCGCAGTGGACATTTTGCTCTCTCGGGACAAGTTGCTATCTGAGACCTGCCTCAGCCTCCAGCCAACCAGCTCTTCTCTAGACAGCTACACAGCGGTCAACCAGGCCCAGCTCAACGCAGTGACCTCATTAACGCCCCCCTCATCCCCTGAGCTCAGCCGCCATCTGGTCAAAACCTCACAGACTCTCTCAGCCGTGGATGGCACGGTGACGTTGAAACTGGTGGCCAAGAAGGCTTCCCTCGGCTCGGTGAAGGTGGGAGGGGTGGCGGCGGCGGCGGCAGCCGTGACACCAGCTGGAGCAGTTAAGAGTGGACAGAGCGACAGTGAACAAGGAGGGGTAGGGGCTGACACATGCCCCGAAAACAAGAAGAGGGTCCACCGCTGTCAGTTTAACGGGTGCCGGAAAGTTTATACAAAAAGCTCCCACTTAAAGGCCCACCAGAGGACTCACACAGGTAGTGGTACAAGTTGGCCGCAGGTCATTTCTTCCTCTTTTGTGCGTTCCCCTTGTGGTGGGATGGGCGGCTCTTAGGAGGGGTTGCCTTCGTGCGCACACTAGGTGGGCACAGAGAGGCAGGAGGGCTGGCTAGGGATGTAAAATGACTCTCACTTCCAGCTCTAGGGTCTTAGGTTCTCCCAGCGCAGGACATGGAATTTTTCACTGCCTGGCTGAAAGGGAGCTGGTTTCAGAGGCAAGGCCAACAGTTCTGAGGCCAAAGGGGGGAGGCTCCGGAGGTGTGACTCACAGACACATGTGACATCCCCAGTGCCTCCACACTGGCATTTGTCAATGTTTTGCGAGTGTGCCTCAGCAGGTTGGATCCACAGTAGAAGTTGAAGAGGTGCATTTCAAAAACATTCACAGTTACACAAAGTAGCCAGGGTGTCCCTAGTCACTCTTTCCCCAGCATCCCTGATTTTTTTATCAAAGTCACCAACAGCAGGAGGGTTTCAGAGTTCATTAGACGTGATCATCCTATAATTAATTGGCATCTCCTCTTTTGCATTGTTCTCTGGCGCGTGCTTTATGGAGAGATGGCAGAATTGCTTTTTAATGAGCTTGTTACCGAGAAGAAGTTGTTAAAGTGATTACATGGCTGTGTGTGTGTGTGGGAAGGGTAGTGGTGGGGGAGGAGACTGTATATTTCACTCAGGATTCCTGTGCTGATTCCAAGGAATCGTATTGGTCTTTGGGGGTAGCGGGGTCATTTGGAAGTGAGGAGTTTATACAGAAGAGAGGGAAATTGTCATTTCCTTTAAAAACTGTCTTTGTTTTCAGTTTTGGGGTTTGGAGCTTGAGGTGATGTCTCTTCTTGGTCAGCTAAAGTGCCACGAGGAATAGTTACTGGGATTGGTGGTTTGTAGGTGGGTCACTAACGGTGCCTCCCTTGTATGGTTTTTGTGTACTGCTTAGGGAGAATCCCCAAAGGTCTAAGAGAGTAAGAATGTTCTCAAAGTAGGTGATGGCCTGTGAGGTAAGGGAAGTGCCTGGGGCCAGGTAGGTTGTGCAGGCCTTTCAATCCCAGCACTCAGGACGCAGAGACAAGTGGATCTCCATGAGTTCTAGGCCAGTCTGGTCTAAATAAGTGAATACCAGCCTAGTCAGAGCTACATAAGACAGTAAGACGTGGTCTGAATACACAACCAAGCAACCCAACAGCAATATAGCTCTGAAGGTCTCTCTGAGCTCTGATGTTCAGGCAGTCCGGGTGATGTCTTTGTGTGACCATAAACAGTTTTCCTGAAGGAAAAGACGTCCAGTGTGAGGAGAAGCCTCTGGTGTGAACCTCAGTGGTCCTCTCATGAAGTGAAGATGACTAGCGTTGCTTCCTATGTCCCGACTTAGGCGTACACTCATAGGACTAAGCTGGAAGCACTATGTGGCTCTTGCTGGGTTTCTGGAATGGTCTCCCTAACGTAGCTTTTGGATCTCATGGCCCAACTTTAGAATCCTATCCGAATCTGAGCTCAAGTTCTCCAGTTCCAGACACTAAAGTCAAAGCTTCCTTCTGTTTTCAGTCTTTTCCCTTTCCCCCTCTCTGGATACTATCGGAAATCACTTTAATTTTCACTTTTTTCTTTGTTGAGTTGGGGAAGAAAGTAATGACAAGATGCTACAGTACTCCCAGGCTGCAGAACAAAACTCACTCCTCTCCCCCTAGGAAACCAAAGAAAGTAAAATGAAGCGAGAACGTTGCGATAGGCCGGGTGGTGGAATACATGGCTGTAGCTAGCTACCTTTCCAAACGTTTGACACTAACCAAGTTACCTCTTGTGTAGAAGCTGGGCGCCTTTAAGGAACAGAGACTCAGGGAGTGGTGGGGGAGAATCTGGAGCATTCTCTTCTTTCCACCCTGTGACCCCAGCAGAGGTGTTGGAAGGGTAACTGTGACGACTGATGCATTATTTGGGAATTTGTTCTTTGAAAATGGGTACTCACAGTACTAAGATGGAGCTTGTTGTGCATAGCACCTGCAACCACTTACTTTGTGATGGACGTAAGTGCCAAGATCCCTCACCACAGGAAATTTACTGAAGCAGTCAGTGTGCGGTGTGAGCAAGGCAGTATTGAATAGCAGTTGAGCAGGATGGTATAGTCAAGTCCACTGGGGTTTGTGTTGTGCCTTTACTAATTCCTAGACTTATGACCTGTATACATTGTCTTCTCCGGGCCCGGTCTCCCCATCTATAAGAAGGATAAGTGTATCCGCATCAGAGTTAGTTTCCAAGATTGAATGTGCCATTTACTTGGCAGACAATAATAGCTCATTAACAGTTGTAGTGGAGTTGTTTTGTTATTATTACTATTTGGTGATTTGAGTTATTCTCTTGGTCTTGACATTGGTTATTGATAAATGAGTGAAACAGCTTTATGTAAACTAGAAATGAGTTGATTAGCTAGAGCTGAAGAAAGATTGAGCATCCTCAGCCACAAATCCAAAATGTTCCAAACTCCAAAACTCTTTTTTGGTGTGTATGTATGTGTGTTTGTGGGGGTTGTGGGTATGTGACACACGTGCCTCCATGCCAGAAGTCAGCATTCAGTGCCTCCCTCAAGCTCTTCTCCTTCTCAGTTTTTGAGACGGGGTCTGTCACTGAACATGGAGCTCACTGATTGGCTAAGCTAGCTGGGCAGTGACCACTCAGGATCCTCCTGTCTCCACTTCTCCAGCTCTGGGATTACAGACTACACTTGATATCTCTCTCTCTCTCTCTCTCTCTCTCTCTCTCTCTCTCTCTCTCTCTCTCTCTCTCTCTCTCTATCTATCTATCTAAAAATAGATTCTCTTCTCATACAGTACATCTTGATCAAAGTTTCCCACCCTTCCACTCCTTCCAGCTCCCCTGACACCGCCCCTCTCCCTCAGATCCACTCCCCTCTTCGTTTCCCTTCAGAAAGGACAAGCCTTCAGGAGACAACAACCCAGCACAACAAAACAAGATACAATCAGACAAGGCAAAAACACTCATATTGAGGCAGGACAAGCCAACCCAAACAGGGGGAAGAGTCCCCAGAGCAGGCAGAAGAGTCAGAGACACACCAGCTCCCACTGTTAGGAGTTCCACAAAAACACCACGCTAACAGCTATAGCATATATGCAGAGGACCTGGTGTAGATCCATGCAGGTCTGTGCTTGCCTCTTCAGTCTTTGTGAGCCCCTATGAGCCCTGCTTAGTTGATTCAGCAGGCCATGTTCTCCTGGTGTCCCACATCCCCTTTCCTGCAGTCTTTTTTCCCCTTCTGAGCTCTGAGGAAAGGGGCACCATGGAAACTTCTTATTTAGACTCTCTTTCTACATAATGTCTGGCTGTGGATCTCTGCATCCTCTCCGATCTGTTGCCAGAGGAAGCTCTCTGATGACGGCTGGATAAGGCACTCATCTATGAGTATAGCATAACATCATTAGGAATCATTTCATTGATTTTTGTTTTGTTTTGTTTTATGTAGGTGCTGAAGATCTGAACCCAGATCCTCAGGCTTATGTGGGAAGTGTTTGGCCAACTTGAGTAACCTGTGCAGACCCTCTGCAATTTTTTTTTTTTTTTTTGAGATCCCCATTTGACACCACAAGTCGATAATTCCATGCCTGGCTTTTTACACAAACCACGGTCAAAATGCACGTCAACTAACAATGATTTGAAGTATTCCCTTCACACTATGTGTATAATAAGGTGTTTATGAGATATAAGCGATTCGTTTTTTCAACTTGAGCCTTCTACCCAAGATTTCTCATTATGTGTGTGCATGTATTCTAGGATCAGAAAGTACAAAGTCTGGGACACTTCTACACCCAGGCATTTTGGAAGGATATTCAACATGCCGTCAAGTGACTTCCATGGCTGATTTGTGGGTGAGGAGGGATGATGCTGTTAGACACCAGGGTGCAAGGTTAAGCTGGCCCTGCAGGCTCCAGCCTGGGGAAATTGGTAGTGATGTAGAATATGGCTTTCCTCAGATAGCAAGGGAAGCAGTCACCCTCCATCCTCAGACATGTGCTACATCTAAACTGTCCTGGAAGATGAACCTGGAGAGACAGGAGGGGGTGCTGTAAAAAAGAGAAGTAAATGGGAAGAGGAAACGGGGAGAGGGATGGAGGATGGGAGAGGGAATATGAATTAATTTGGATTAAATGGATGGGAATTAGAAGTATTTATTTGGAATTGGTGTGAATGGGGCACATGGGGAACTGAAAATGAAGGCGATAATTTATGTGGTGTGGATGAACTAAGAGTAATGAGAAAAGCATGAAGGGTAAAATCAGACGAAGTGCCTCCATATAAAGGAAATGGGCTGGTGAAAGCTCAGGGGCAAAGGGATGCGGAGGAGCAGTGGGGACTGGGTTGGGAGAGGGTCTCCTTGCTGATAGAAGGAGCGCAGTGTGGAGAGAGCTAACCAAATGATGATTGGAGTGTTTGAAAATGGGCTGTGGACGGATCCAGGCAAGCTATTCATGGATAAGATTCACTTCAAGTCAGTGGAACTATTTCTTATTTTTCTGGTGTTTGGGGATAGAAAAAGAAAGGCCATAAGGAAAGGATCCCAGAGAAAGGCGAGAGATTGGCATTTTGTTCTCACGAGTTATATATATTTGCCATATCTCTTTTATATGGTAATATGTTGCAAAGGAGACACAGTCGCAAAATGAAATGAAGTAAAATAAAATGTGTGAGCCTCTGTCTCCTCCACAGAAAGACGATACATTGTTGGTGACGTGGATTCGCTCGCATTGAGCAAGTTCTAAAATGTTATTCATTTAGTCTTTATATAGACGGGATTACGAGGCTGGAAAAGACATGCACTTTTTTTTTTCTTTCTTTCTTCTGTGATTGTTTTTGAAGATGCTGAATCCTGCAAAACTTTTTGGCCCAGAGAATATCAAGCAATGGGGTGTTTTCTTTTCTTTTCTTTTCTTTTCTTTTCTTTTCTTTTCTTTTCTTTTCTCCTTCCTTCCTT